TATATATATATATATATATGTATGTGTGTACACGCACACTTATGTTCTATACCAGAAGAAAGAAACTTTTGCTTTCGTTTTTAAATTTCAACGTTCGCGAGAGCACAATAAAATACGTTAGGAAGGATGAATTTGTACTGGCACGATTTATTCTAGAAAGGATCCTGTCGTAGTAAAAGCGAGGATAACGCAAGGACGACTGATCCTTTCTTCGAAACTGACGCTTACTGACAGCGTTAGCGACTGGTGAAAAGCACACTCGCAGACGCCGTGCACACGAGAGGTCCCACTATCCCCACTCTTTTCCTCTTCGCAACTGACAACTATCCCTACTACTATCTACCATTCGGCCCTCTCCGCTTGTGAGAGAAAGGATAGTGGTTCTCATTCTCAATACTCTTTCTTAATCTTCTATAGATATTATACACACCTACGCTAAACGTGTACTCGAATCTTTTATATTTTACATTTCTTTTTGATGATGGTTAAATGTCATTGTCTCTCATTTAAATTAATTTTATCTCTTTGGTAGAGGAGAAGGATTTTATAGATCGAATTGATTTATAAAAGTTCATGTAAAAAAATAATAAATTATTGTAATATGTAAAAATGCTTTGTTTAAGTAATTAATCGATAAATTAATTTATATGTCAAATTTTTGTATAAATTCTGAATCTGTTTTTGGTTATATCCACATTGAAGATGATAAATTTATAACAATTTGTGAGGAAAATATAATAATAAATAATTGTATGCTAAAAAAACATTTTTTTCCGAGTGATTTATTAATAAATTATTATTATATGTTTGTAAGATTTTATAGATTATAAATTTTGTGATAGTTAAGTATCTCAAAGGTGATTAATTTTAATTTTCTTTTTCCATCGAGGATTTTATCTTTTTTTTTGAATAGAGTGGAATGAATTTGGTAGATGAAATTTATTTATAAGAGTTTCATTACTAATTTCTTTGGTAATTGTTTTTATTGTTGTATTTATATTACAGTTACGATTGGAATTGTCAAATAAACATTTATCATTGATATATTTAAAAATTAGAAACTCACTCCATTTCTTATATCAAATAACTAAATGAATTAAAGATAAACAAATGACGAGCATTTTTAGAATATTAACCCCAACGTTATTTTATTCAATTTAATCTAATCTATTAAAGAAATACAAACATCCATCTGTGATTCATTATCTACTATAAATAAAATTTTATTTTTATTCTTTTTATATAAATCATTCGAATTACATTGTTAATTACACATATAAATGTGTTTGCCTCTTTTTTTTTTTTTATTAAGAAATGTTGAATAGAATAATTTCAAAATAATCTTAGTTACCCCATTCATTGTAAAAATCATTTAAGTAGTGAAAATTATTAGTCATTCTTATTTTTTTCATTATTTTTGTATCTATACTATTCTAAAATTATTAATCCTTCTGTAATTAAAAATAAATCGCGCAATACCAGTAAAATGCAATAACAAATGGACCACTCATATGTTAAATCAATTAACTTCTGAAAACAAAACGTAGACAAAAAGAATAAAGAAATATAAAATATTTTATCATCATTTATTGAACGATTGTAAAAATTGTTGTCATGTAATAATTCTATGCATAATTATTGAGGCAATTAATTTGAAATCTTAAAATGCAAATGTTGATCAGATATTTCAATTTTTTCTTAATAAGAAAAAAATTGAAAAAAATTCTAAAAGTGTAGTTAATCGATTTGACAAAAAAAAAAAAAAATGAGCGGCTTGAATTAAATGAAAATATTATAAATGTACTCACCATCCAAGACAAATACAGTCGAACCAACATCTCCTTCACGCACGATAGTACTACCACGTTCGAAGGTAATCGGGAACATACAATCAACTATTTCTTCAATTTGCGTCATGCTTAGATGCTTCATAAAGTCATTTGCTAGAATTGCTTCTTTAATAAGCAATCTGGATCTATAGGAAGAAACAAAAAAGAATAGAAAAAATTACTTATTAATTACATGACTATTTCATAATAGAAATAAATATTTTATGAATAATTTATTTAATGAAAAGCGATATTTGAAAATTTCGATTATTATGCCGGAGTCTCGTGTGAACAAGCAGACACTAATGTAAGTTACAACGGGAATTATAAAATACGGTCGCGGAATAACGGGTTAAAAAGAAACGAGCTCGTTCCACCCATCATAACGAACAATCTTCTTCGATAAATCGTATTTTCATTATTACATGATTAAAGTCAATGATTAGAATCTTTTTGATAATATTGAAACGTTAATTTTACGAATATACAAGATAATCCTAAATAAATAATAATAGCTTACGAGATTGCAAGTTTAATTATTAATTCAGAATTTATATTATTATTATTAATGATACAAATAGAAAACGATATTTTACAAAGCATATTTCAAACGGTCATATTTAAATTTAATAGAAGTTAACAATAAAATGATTTATAGAATGTACAAAGTTTAGAATGATTTGTAAAATAATTATTAAAAATAGTAATTAATATTCGAAGTTATTGACATTTACTTTGAATTACCCTGTACACATTATTTCAGATTTCTATTTATAAAAGAGATTAAAATTCATTTATTGTCGTTATGCTTAGTTATTTGAAAATAAATTTATCCTCAGAAAGATATTTTTTATGTTTAGTATACAGTATGTATGTATATTTAATAACTGAGCAAGACTATATTAATTTGTTCCTTTTACAAATAGAACAAAATTGTAGAAAAAAATGGTCCAATATTTAATAAGCTCTATTATTAAATAACATAGGTATTTCTAGGAATGTATTGGTGCAGTTGCAGAGTTGAAGAGAAACTACGAAATGAACAAAATTATAGCCCAGCTTACTTATCGTTAGTAACTAAATATATTTTAAAGAGTGGGAATTCTCAAAATAAAAGTTCAATGAATAAACGATTTACAACTCTATACGTATAGTATATTTGTGAGATTATGATAGTGCTCGAAAAGATAGTATAGAATCTATACCCAGGGTTGCGAAATTATTTATTCGGGTAAAAAAATATGGTAAAATTTGAGAAGACCTGCTGTAATAATAATTAATAATAATTATTATTATTATTCACTTATTTTAATATTTAATTTATTGAGCAAGTATTATAACATTAAATTTATTCAAAATAATATTATTAGTATTTAATGTGTGTTTCGAAACGAATAAGACTTTTTCCTGTATAAGATCATCAAAAATATTCGATAAGTAAATTATATGGAAAATTGAGCTATTGTTATATTCAACTATCGTGTAACTATTCTTTTTTATTTTGTCGACGTTTTTATTCACACGTTCGAGTCTATGAAACAAATAATATAATATGTGCGTTAAAATAACGTAAAAATTTCGAAACCGTCAATAAAGAACAATTTTTCTTTTTTAAAATAAATTTATTGATTGTTTTCAATAATTTTTAAAAATTACTTTACTTTTAACTTCGTTTTAAAGAATAATAATATTTGTCTTATGATCATATTAAAAAACACTAGAAACGTAAGTAATGGGTAATATCAAAAAAATGAATATAATCATTGATAAACTATTGTTAATAAAAAGTGTATGAAAGAACGTTATAAGAATAAACAAATAAATAAATAAATAAATAATAAATTAACGATTAAATGAATTGAGAAAAATTCTAAGATAATTACCAAACATCGATGAAGCTTCAGATCCGTTTATGTATCTTGTTATAATAAGAAAATGTGTAATCAAGTTATATGAGTTTAATGATAACACTGACGAATTAACGAAGGTCCTCGAGAAAAGACGACTCAAGATAAAGGGAAGGTTGGAAATATTTATCTATATATGCTTGAATTTGTGAAGAGGAAAATATAAATACGTTCGTAAGTAAGGAAATCTATCGAAAAACGTTATCACAGCGATACAGAAATGATTTAAACAGTAGTTCGATGTATCGAACATATAATAATGAATTAATTATTATTGTTAATGGAATGAATGACATGAGTATAACTCGCGTTTACATTAAATTAGATACCGAATCGATCAAAGAAACAAAAAAAAAGATTTAAACAACTAGAACTACCGTTGGCTTGATGTATTACTACTAGACTAACAACTTAACGATCTAACGAAGAAAAGATAAGCGTGGTAGGGGAAGAAGACCTATTAAGCTAGACAGACTAATTTTCAAACATTGCAGCATATATTTGACTTTCTTTTTATTCAATTTACTCACTAACTTTCTGTCGATAAATATTTATATACGAATCAAATTCCATCGTAAATTTGTATTTGTTAATATTTCTATTACACTATATATTAATATAGGTATTATGTAATATTCCTTTTACATTATACTATTGGAATTGGGAAAATTTTTTTTCAAAATTCTACTAATACAGAGAAAAAAGTTTTTCTCATATTTTGTATTCACATTTTTCCAAATGTTTCTTATCAATATCTTGACTGTTAATGTACCTCCTCAATGATTTTTTAATGACTTTTATCAAACGATTAGTCATTTAGAATAATAGGTGTATCTGTGACACCAAAATTTCCAATTTGAAACACTTGAACTATTAGCATTGGGCCACGTGTATTTATTAATATTGATATTATTTCCATAAACATCACACATTTCGTTTCTAGAGTTAGTTGTAGTTTTATCTTTTTTCTAATAATATTTTAAGATGTATATAATTTCTTTATTTTAATTTATTTTCAAGAAGCAATAGTTTTTAATCGAATAAACAAATACTATAAGTTGTTTTTTTTTTATTATTCTATGATATGTTAGTTTTTAATAAATTTATTTACTAGGAAAATACGAAGAAACTTCTTACTCAAGTCAATATACTATACAATAT